GTACAACATGATAAGTTTTTTTCCCAACTCTAAGTAATGATACATTATTACTTAATATATGTATTCCAGGTACAATAACTTCATTTGTATTTGTAATTTTTTTATAATTAATATAGAAACCACCAGCTTCAATAATTCTCCTTGCATCATGATCTGTATTAAAACAGTTTGCTTTCATTGCTAATTCATAAACACTAATGCCTGGTTCAGCAAAAAGTTCTACTACAGATGCTCCTTCCAATATCTGTACTAGGTCATTTACTTTCATTCTTGCTAAAGACTCAACACTTCTATCATAAAGAATATCTGATGCTCTCTTAGCAGCTACTAATCCCTCTTCTACAATAAAACATATACCATTAATAAATATTGTGAAATTAAATGAGAGTTCTGTAACAGAACAATATTATATGAATTTTAATAAATAATAAGAAATAGAAGTAGGAACTTTTTATCTTAATTTAAAAAATCTTTCGTTTATGTATGTAATAAAAACTGTTCATTTACCTCCATGAACTAATAATGTAACTTTATCAGCTAAAGTTTTCTGTGCTATTCTCTTTTCTGGGTTTTTAAAATGCTCTTGTACAATATTTTTAATAACATCTACAGGCAAAAATGTAAAGAAATGGAGGAATTTTTCTACATCAGCATCCTCTACTCTCATGAAGTATTGATACAGCTGAAAACTAGATGATTTTAAAGAAGAGAGCCAAACTGCATTACTAGTAGATTTTCCAAACTTTTTTCCACCATCAGCAGTGATTAATGGTAATGTCAATCCATACACTTGCTTTTTTTCATATCTAGTGACTAAATCATAACCAGCTACTATGTTTCCCATCTGGTCTTGACCTCCAACTTGAAAATTACAATCATATGTGCGCTGTAAGTGGAGCCAATCATATCCTTGAAAAAGCGAATATGTAAATTCTGTGAAACTCATTCCACTTTCAGAATGTAATCTAGATTGCACAGATGCACGACCAAGCATTGTACCCATTCTAAAATACTTTCCAACCTCTGTGATGAAAGAGAGCAAATTCATATCTTTATACCAGTCTAAATTGTTAAGTATTTTTATAGGTTTTAGATGATTTTTGTTTTTACAGAAATATTGTTGATGATTTCTAACAACAGTTTTGATATCTTGTTTTATGCAATTCAAATTTTCACGCATTACAATTTTTTCTATGTCAACACGTTCAGATGTTCTGTAACTTGGATCACCAATTAAACCTGTTGCACCTCCTAATACAATAATTGCTTGATGGCCACTGCGTTGCCAGTGTAGAAGATTGATAAGAATTATCAAATTTCCTATGTGTAAACTTTCTGCGGTTGGATCGAATCCAGCATAAACACACTGTGGTGGACTTTCCCATAATTTTTGTACATCTTTCCTAAAAATTTATTTTCTTTTAGAAAATTGCAGAAATATATTTTTTTCTTGCTAGCGAAATATTACAATAACATGTGTCGAAAAATTCAAGAAATACAGACAAATTAAACATATACAAAGATTTAAAAAATAATGACACTTTTCCGAAGACACGTTAAATATTAATAACTTACACAGAAATATCAGGAAAAATATCCTCGTACAATTGTCTATTTTTGGCGTCTAATATGTGCTTTACAGAATGTAATCGACGATTATTAAAACACCTACTGAACAAACGTAACCTCAATAAGTTATTCATTTTTAATTAAATACAATTTTAATATCAATTATTAATTTAACAAATAATCGTTTATTTCTTAGTATTTAATTTTTATATAGTCTATCAAATATATACGCCGGAAAACATAACCTGAAACTTTGAACTACCAGTAGATATATAGATGGCGACATATTTGAGATCAGAAATTTAAAATGATGCATAGAAAATTTTTACTTAACCCATTATAGTTTACTTACATCGTTTAATTCATATATAGCATAAATTCATTTTATTTTTTCATTCTTCATATTTTGTATACTAGGACATCACTTTGCAAATTGGTACGGATAAAAAAATTGTCAATGAAAAACAAATTTTAATGAAAATCAGCAGGTATTTAATAATCATATGTAACATAATTTATAATGCTGTACGCAGTATGCTATTTTTCAAAATATTGTATTTTATTAAATTTCTTTATTACTCGAAAGATGCTTTATCAGTTGCAAGGGAAGTGTACTATTGTATCTTCAGTGGTGTATACGTAAAATAAAAAATTTTCATAACAGATGGCGACACGTTTATATATTTCGATTGTTTTCTTAAAAGTGTAACTTGATTTTTATTTTTTTAAATACTTGATTTCTGAAGACTTATTAAAATGCACACAATTTTAAAAATTTAACATTTTAAATACTTAATATATTGTAAATTTATTGAATTTCACTAAAATTTTGAAGATTCCGACAATATTTAAAATTCGTCACTATTTACTTACAATATTTTCCATCTTAAAATAATTATTAAACTGTTCAAATTTTGTAATATATACTAAAATATTCGAAATCTGTTGAAACTTCTAATTTCTCAAACTTTCCAAAATTTTAGAATGTGAGTGAAACTTTTAAATATTTAATTATAAAAATGC